GAGGACTGTATGGAAGGGACACACCCTCTCCTTTGTCTTTCATGGAAAGTGGGATACAAGCCTCTAAGAAAATGGCCCAGATTTGCCAAAACACTGTCCAATACCTTGGCTTTCACATGTCCCAGGGGCAATGCAGGCTTGGTCCTTGGAGGAAACGGCTGTATGTTCCATCCCAGCCCCTAAGACCCACCAGCAGATTAGAAAGTTTTTGGGAGCTGCAAGTTTCTGTTGACTCTGAATCCTTAATTACTCCCTCTTGGCCAGACTCCTCTATAAAGCCACAAAGTGGAGGAGAATGGGAGCCTTTAGTATGGGGAGGGAGCAAGAGAAAGCCTTTAAAGAAATCAAGAAGGAACTCACCAATACCCCTACTCTAGGCCCTTTTTTTGTATGTCCATGAGTGAAAAGGAATAGCTATTGGGGTCCTGACTCAGTTACTGGGCTTGGCACCATCCAGTGGCTTACTTGTTAAAACAATTGATGCCATTTCCTGAAGCTGGCCACCTTGTCTGCATGCCCTAGTAGCTACCTCTGCCCTGATGACAGAAGCAGACAAGCTCACTCTAGAACTCACTGTCTGTGTTCCCCACTCTGTTCTGACACTCATGGAGTGTAAGGAAAATTATTGGCTGACTCTGAGATGGTCAAATACCAGAGTATGCTATGTGAAAACCATGCATCCAGCTGGAGGTTGTGAAGCCTCTAAACCTGGCCACTCTATTTCCAATTGCCTTGGGCCCCCTGGAGCATGACTGCTTAGAGGTTTATGTATGAGGTTTTTTTGAGTGGCCCAGATCTAACCAGTCAATTGGCAATCCGGACATTGAATATTTCACAGATGGCATCAGCTTTGTCTGGGATGGTACACACTTTGCTGATTGGTTACTTTGGACTCAGTTACTGAGGCTCACTCACTGCCAGTAGGCACTTCTGTGCAAAATGGTAAACTTGTCACCCTTAGGTGGGCACTCCAGATTGCTGCAGAAGTACTAGCAAATATTTACCCTGACTATAAATATGCCTTCACAACCATTCATGTTCATGGGGCCTTATATAGAGGAGACTCATTAACTTGGGAGGAAAAAGTATCAAGTGTGAGCAGAAAATCCTTGAACTGCTAGATGTTGTGTGAGCCCCTAAATAGGTGGCAGTTATACACTGCCAAGGGCACAAGAAGGGAGATGCAACAATTGCCTGGGGAAATGGGAAAGCTGACAAAAAGGCCAAACAAGTGGCCCTCACAAGGAGACCAGCCCCAATTGTTCTGACAACTGCCTTATTCCCAAGCTCCTTAGCTGAATGGGGTCCATGGTACACACCACAAGAACAGGCTTGGTTAAGACTGAGGAGGGAAGTTTTCTGCCAAATGGATGATGGAAGTTTGCTGATGGCCACATTGCCATACCTGAGCCTCTGGTCCCTACATTTGTCAAGCAGTTCCATGAAGGAAGTCATTCAGAGTGAACAGCCCTTGAGACCACCCTGGTTCAGCATTTTTATGGCCCCAAGATCCCCAGCATAAGTAAGGCAGTATGTGAGAGACTACCCTATGTGCTAAAAATAAACCCAGACAAAGGCTCAGAGCACTCCCTCAGGTGCAGAGCGTTGGTGGAACACCTCTTGAAAAGTTGATAATGGACTTCACTGAAATGTCATGAGTTTGAGGATGCAAATATCTGTTGGTGTTTTTTTGTACCTTCTCAGGATGGGTGGAAGTCTTCCCCAGATGAACTGAAAAGGCCCGGAAGGTGACCAGATGTCTGTTAAAGGAGATCATCCCTCAGTTTGGAATACCTGTGTCAACTGGGTTGGATAATGGGCCAGCCTTTGTGGCAGAGGTGGTACAGTTGGTGGCTAAGGGCTTCAGAATCACCTGAAAGTTGCATGCAGCCTACCGCCCCCAGAGTTCTGGAAAAATAGAGTGCATGAATAGAACCCTAAAATCACAAGTTAGTTAAACTGTGTCAGGAGACCCATCTGCAGTGGGATCAATTACTGCCCATAGCATTACTAAGAATTAGATCTGATCCCACAAAGCAGACAGGGCTCTCATCTCACCCTCTGAAATCCTTATGGACGCCCATCACCTTTAATCAAGAGCATAAGGAGGGACCTTAAGGAATTAGGTGACCTCACCTTAAGGCAGCAGATGCAGGCCCTCGGGTTGACTCTCTCAAAGATCAATGACTGGGTCTGGAAGAGACTTCCTATCAGCCTGACAACTCCCATGCACTCTTACAGGCCAGGGGATGCCATCTGGGTAAAGGAATGGATTGTCCAACCATTAAAGTCTCATTGGAGAGGCCTTTTGTTGTTATTTTGTCTATCCCTACTGCAGTCAAAGTAGCAGACATAGCTCCTTGGATCCACTACAGCCAAGTCAAGTCAGCTTCTCTTGAGTGTGAGTGCATCCCCTATCTGGCTTCACTACTTAAGATCACTCTCCAGAATGTCACTGCCCTCCTTGGCAGGACTCCACCTCTTGGGAAACAATAGGGGACCATAAAAAACGAGATGACAGTCCTGCTGTAGTCACTCTGGAAGCTGACTAGTCTACTCACAGCAAAACATGAGGAATCAGTTGTCTAACAGGATAGATGAACTGTTTCTATTCAGTTATTTCACTGTAATGCATTGTCACCCCTTATTTGTATCAGTTGCTGTAGTTCTCACCCTAGTCTTTGCCATAGATTTGGCAGAAACCACCCCGCTGACTGGACTCACAGAGAAAAGTCTTTATTAGCTCTCTTCTACCTCTTTCAGGCAGGATGAATAATTACTGTTTATTGTTACTGATGTGGCTCCCCTTCGTGGTCCCAGAGCCCTCATCCTGTGACCTATGTATGCATACTACTCAGGCAGGAAGTGTTGCTGCCAGGACTTTGCTTTTCCATACTTACTATTCCTGTGCAGGCACCATCATGAGGTCATGCATGCACAACCTTACCATCTATTCAGTATGTTCCCACGGTAATCAGCATGTCTGTTTCAACCCTACCTACAGCCCTGGGGAACAATGGGTGGAGGTCTGGAGATTTGGTGGTGCTGTCTGGGGAGGAATTAGGGACCTCATTAACTGTACCCGGGTATTCAACCCTGATAAACCAGCGTCAGTGTTTTTGATGTATGTGCAGCCATAGGCTGAGAGACCAGGGGATGCGGAGTCTTAGCCTGGGAGAGAGCCTATGTGTTAAATGATAGATACATGTGCTCCAACCATGTGGCAGGTCACATGGTGGCACAGGTTGGCATTATTGCTCTTACTGGAGTTGTGTCTCATGGGGCTTCTTGACAGTAGGGTGCTTGGCTCTCTTCCACAAGGAAACACCTAAACCTGACTGGACACTTGGCAATTGTAATTCTGTAAATTTTACTATACTTAATGCCCTCAGATTGAGAACAGTGATGTAAGGTCAGTGTAAAGATAAATGGAAATGGGTCCAATCCTGGGACCCTACTGCACCTCAAATTAGTGACAATCAACCATAAAAGTTCCTTTTACCAAGTTCTTTCATTCCTTCTATGAGGAAATGAAAAGTGAGTTCCCTATATTTGACAAGACCAAAAACAGTCCTCTCCTTGGCTGAGTCTATAACCTAGACACTGAATGTTACTTCATGCTATGTTTGTGAGGAAACCAACATAGGAGACCACTGGCCACAGGAGGCAAGGGAGCTAGACCTATGGGTGTCCTTTGATGAGACTGCCTTTCCCGATCACAGAGAAAGCATCTGGCCCCTAAAAACTTCTATTATTGGGAATTACTGTATCTCTCACCTAAGGCTGGTTCTCTACCCTGGTAGGGGATTTCACTTGTTTAGGACAGAAGTTTACAATGACACCACCCAAGAGACCCAATGGTGGGGAGCTCCAAACCACACAGAACCCCAGCTCCACCCACTGGTCAACTTTCATAATCTCCAGAAAGCTTGGGACAATCACTGCAAAAATAGATTGGCGGGCCCCAGGGGGCTATATCGGCTCTGTGGGAAGCAAGCTTATGTGGTGCTACCAGCAGCTGGCTTGGGTCTTGCATACTAGGCTCAATCAGGCCACCCTTCTTGCTTCCCCTTAGACAAGGTGAAAAACTGGGAGTCCCCATATATGAAGAAAGATTAAGTAGTGCCTTACAAATTGACAGCTGGAAAGATAATGATTTGCCTCCCAAGCAAATCATCCAGTACTATGGTCCTGCCACTTGGGCAGAAGACAGGTCCTGGGGCTATCACACCCCTACATATATGCTCAACAGCTGCAAGCTGTTTTTGAAATTATAACTAATGAAACTGCAAGAGCCCTCTATCTGCTGGCAAAACAAAGCACCAAGATGCCATCCATCAGAACTGCTTGGCTTTAGACTATTTGCTGGCCTCTGAGGGAGGAGTTGTGGAAAATATAACCTGAGTAATTGCTGCTTACAGCTTGATGATGAAGGAAAGGTCATAAAAGAGATCACAGACAGAATGAGAAAAATTGCCCATGTCCCAGTCCAGACTTGGAAAGGTTGGAACCCAGGAAAATTATTTGGAGAATGGTTTTCAACTTTTGGGGGATTCAAAACCCTCATAAGTGTTATGCTTTTGATTTTAGGGGCTTGCCTGGTTTTTTCCTGCATGGCCCTCAGATTGTAAGGTCTGTCTCCAGCCTCATCGATGCCACAGTTGAAAGAAAAATGGCCCCCCATGTAATGATGCTATGGAAATATAAACCCATAAATCAAGATGATGCTCTTTGACCCTAGGTGGGTCCAAGCATCAAAGGGGAGAATAATGTAGCAGGGAGAAGGACTAGAAGAGAAACAGACAGGCCTGAGTCCTGATAAAGTAGCAGGGAGGGAAGGACAGCATAGCAGAGATAAAACCTAAAGGATCCAAAACATGAAGAAGGTCACTTAGCACCAGGGGTAGAAGGCCACTAACACTAGGCTGAAGTAGCCTATAGAGGTGCATGTACCATATATGGGTTAAATCTTGTTTTATTTTAAATTTTATTGCCTCTGTAACTTGCTTGCAAGGGTACATAACACAAGACCCCTTTGTTCTCAGGGCTCAGCCTTTGGACATGAGTCCGCTGAGTCTCTTTCAGCACAATAAAGTGCTGCTTTATTGCTTCAGAGTCCCAAGTCTCCTATAACAGAAAAAGGCAAGAGTAGCCAGTGCTGCTGATGGTTGACAACTGAGAACCAAGCATGGTCACTGCAGCCTTTGGAGTTAGTGCTTCAGGTGCAAGTCCAACCCAGCAGGCACCCTGTGCCCTGGCGTGGCCACTCAGACTTAATTATTCTACTATGTTCCCTTAGCTAAGAGAGCCCTCAGCCTGCCTTTTCCCAAGGTCATTCATGCTTGTCATTTCTTCCTGGGCAGTAAGCCTGCTGCTCTCAGAACAGCTGGACAATGAGGCCTGGGCAGTGCCAGGTGCCAGGTGCCATCTGAGCACAGCAGCCAGGAAAGTCTTCAGATACTGGCGGAAGCGACAACTGGAGAAGGCGTAGAGGACAGGGGTAAAACAGCAGTGAAAGAAGGCGAGGCTCTCTGTCACCTGCATTGCATAGTCTAGATGCTGGCTGACCTTGCAGTTCCCAAAGACTTGTAGGTCCAGCAGCGAGTGCAGAAACAGGGTAAGGTTGTATGGGAACCACATCACAAAGAAGGCTACCACCAGGGTTGCAGCCATTCTTAGAGCCCGACCCTGGCCTGGTGGCCTCAACCTGACCAGGACACAACCGATGCGGGAGTAGAAGAAGATCATGGCTAAAAGTGGGAGGAGAAAGCCCAGGATGTTCTGCTGGAAGCGAAGGAAGAGTTTCCAAATGGTCCCATGCCCACCGAAATCTGGGTAGCAGTTCCACACACCCTGGGGGTCTTCATGTATCTGTACAAAGACCATGTCAGGGATGGAGATGGCCAGGGCCACAACCCACACGATGACTGCTAGGAACAGGCTCTTGGCTCGAGTCCTCAGTCTATGCAGGGGCCGAGCGTGGACAATCTCCAGGTACTTGTCCAGACTCATGCAGCTAATGAAGAATATGCCACTGTAAAAGTTAATGGTGTAGAGGGTGCTCACCATCTTGCACAAGAAATTGCCAAAGACCCAATGCCAGGCTATGGAGATGCCCCAGAAGGGCAATGTCACCACAAACAGGAGGTTGGAGATGGCCAGGTTCAGCAGGTAGACTTCAGTCATCCGCCTACGAGGCACATAACAGAGCAAGACCACAAGAAGCAGGAGGTTCCCACTCAAGCCCAACACAAAGATCAGGCTGTAGATGACCGGCAGGAAGATCTTGGCAAAGAATAGGATGGTATCCTTCCTGCAGAGCAAGAAGGCTGCCTCATCCAGGTAGTCGTAGTCATAGAAGAAGCTGCTGTTCTCAGTCCTAGTGACCTCAGTGGTGAATGGTGGAGGAGAGTTGGTGGCCATGTTGGGAAGATCACGCAGTATTGAAGTTCTGCAATGGTGTGAACAACAACAACAAAAAATGCAGTGAGAACTCACATGTCTTACGTCTCTCCAAACCCATGTTGGCTACTACTCTGGGATGTCCAGTAAGCTCCTCAAATCTACAGCAGCACCTGCAGATCAGCAAGCAAGAGCACATGGCTGGGGACCCCAGTTCACCACTTACTATTTTGTCACCTTGGATAAGTGTCTTACTTAACCCTTAGGTGTTATTGGAGCATTTGGTTCTTTCATTATGGCTTCACTTCTTTTCCTCCCTCATTTAAAAAGGTTTATAATGTTTTGAAGATTCTTTTTTATTATCTTTTATTTTAACCAATTAGCTAATTTATTGAGTCTCCTGACTGTGCCTTATGTATAGCTTATAATTATTCTTCCTTGGGTGGCTTACAATTATTTTTTAATGAGAGCTTATCTTCAATGGGGCTCATTTCATCTGTAAATGAACAGTGTATCCACTCTGGCTTTTGGTTTTCTTGACTTCTATCACCTGAGGGTTTCCTTTGCTTTTGACAGTTTTAAAATATTAATTGTACAAATTAATGGGTCTCACTGTGACATTTCTATACATGTACATATAGAGTTTTGATCATACCTACCTTCCCTTCTAGTCTCTCTTCCCATCCCTCCATCATTTTCTCATTCTTTTTAGTTTCCACTTATGAGAAAAAACATGCAATACTTGTCTTTCTGAGTCTGACTTATTTTACTTTGCTTAACCTGATGACCTCCAGTTCCATTCATTTTCCTAAAACGATAGGATTTCATTCTTATAGCTAAACAGTGTATACATGTGTGTATACCCTATTTTCTTTATCTACGCATCTATCGACAGTTACCTAGGCTAATTCCATACTTTGGGGTTTGTGAACATTGCTATAACAAACATAGGGATACAGGTATCTCTTTTATATGCTGACTTTATTTCCTTTGGCTAACCTTCCAGGAGTTGTATAATTGGATTATATGATGGCTTTATTTTTGGTTTCCTGGGAAAACTTTATGCTGTTTTCAATAGTGGCTGTACTAGTTCACATTCCCACAAAACAATGTATAAGAGTTCCTTTTTCTCCACCTCTTGACTAATCTTTGTTTATTTATTCTTAATAACCATTCTGACTGGGGTAAGATGGAGTCCCAATGTAGATTTGATTTGCATTTCCATGATGGGTAAAGATTTTGAGCACTTTTTGTTTCACTTATTTATTAGCTGTGTATACATCTTCTTTTTAGAAGTGTCTGTTCAGACCATTGGCCCGTTGTTGGATTGGATTACTCATTCTTTTGTTACATTTTTTGAGTTCTTAATATATTCTGAATATTAATCCTCTGTCAGATGAATAGCCGGTAAAGATTTTCTCCCATTCTCTAGGTTGTCTCTTCACTTTGTTGATTGTTTCCTCTGCTACACAGAAGCTCTTTAATTTGATCAATCCCATTTATCAATTCTTGCTTTTCTTTCCAATATTGGAGTTTTATTCAGGAAATCATTGCTTGTGCCGATAGCTTGTGTTTTCCCTATGCTTTCCTCTGTAGTTTCAAAGGTTCAGATTTTACACTATAGTTTTTTATCCATTTGAGTTGATTTTTATACAGAGTAAGAGACAGGGCTCTAGTTCAATCTTCCCTATATGGATATCCAGTTTTCCCAGCACTATTTATTGAAGAGGCTATCTTTTCCTCCAACATATGCTTTTGGCACTTTTGTTGAGAATCAGATGACTGTACATGTGCAGGCTTATTTCTGAGTTCTCTGTGTATTCCACTGATCTACATGTCTGGTTTTTCTACCAATATCTTGCTGTGTTTGTTACTAAGGTGCTGTAGTATATTTTGAAATAAGATATTGATGATGTCAATAAGATATTGATGATTGATGATAGTGATGTCTCCATCATTTCTCTTTTTGCTCTGGATTCCTTTGGCTATTTGTGATCTTTTTTGCTTCCATATAAATTTTAGAATTATTTTCTCTATTTTTGTGAAGGATAATCTTGGTGTTTTGATAGAGACTGCACTGGATCTTTTTTTATCACTTTTGGTCGTGTGGCCATTTTAACCATCTCAATTTTTCCTATCGATGAATATGGGAGTTCTTTCCATCCTCTAGAGCCTTCTTCAATTTCTTTCCTCGGTGTTTTACAATTCTCATCATAGGAATCTTTCACCTCCCTTGTTAGTTTTATTCCTAGGCATTTTCTCTGAAGTTATTATAAGTGGGATCATTTTTCTGATTTCTTTACCAGTAAGTTTGTTGCTTGTGCATAGAGTTTTTGTATCCTGATACTGAATTTGTTTATCATATCTAAGAGTTTTTCAGTGAAGTCTTGGGGTTTTTCTAAGTGTAGAATCACATGGTCTACAAACAGATTAATTGACTTTCTCCTTTCCTATTTGTATTCCTTTTATTTCTTTTTGTTGCCTTATTTCTCTGACTAAAATTTCAAGTGCTATACTGAATAAAAGTAGCTAAAGTGAACAGCATGGTCTTGCTCCTGATTTTAGAGAAAATTCTTTCAGCTTTTCCCCATTCATTATGATGTTGGTTGCCTATAGGTTTGTCATCTACAGCATTTATTGTGTTGAGTTATGATCCTCTATACCTAACTTATTTAGGACTTTTATCATGAAAATATGTTGTATTTTGGCAAAAGACTTTTCTGCAGGTACTGAGATGATCATTTGGTTTTTATTCTCAATTCTAATTTACATGCTATGTTACACTTACTGATTTTTGTGTGTTGAACCATCCTTGCATTCCTGGAATGAAACCAATTTGGTTGTGGTGTATTTTTTAACGTGCTGTTGAATTTGATTTACAAGTACTATATTGAGAATTTTGCATCTATTTTCATCAAGGATATTGGTCTATAGTTTATTTTTTGTGTGTTTTGATCAGGTGTTGATATGAGGGCAATACTGGCTTTATAAAATGAGTTTGGAAGGAAGGATTCCTTCCCTTTCTGTTTTATAGAATAGTTTGTGAGCATTGGGGTTAGTTCTTTAAAAGTCTGATAAAATTCAGTAGTACATCCATCCAATCCTGAGCTTTTCATGTTAGGAGACTTTTTATTACTATTTCAACCTCATCTATTTAATCTTTTTATATCCTCTTGGTTCAATTTTAGTAGGTCATATGTATGTACATACTTAATCATTTCTTCTAGATTTTCTGATTTATTGGCAAACAGGTTTTCAAAATATCCCCAAAGGATCCTATGAATTTCAGTGGTATCTGTTGAAATACCCCTCTTTTGTTTCTAATTTTATTTGGATCTCTGTCTCTTTCTTTAGGTTAGTTTAGTGGCTAAAGGCTTGTGAATTTTTTTTTGCCTTTTCAAAGAACAAGTTCTTTGCTTCATTGGACCTTTGCATTGTTCTTTTAGTTTCAATTTCATTTATTTCTGCTCTTATCTATTATTTCTTTCCTTCTACTGATTTTGGGTTTGGCTTGTTCTCATTTTCTAAAATCTTGAGATGCATCTTTGGGTTGTTTATTCAAGATCCCTGTTTATTTAATGTAGGCAGTCACAGCTACAAACATCCCTCTTACTACTGCTTTTACTGCATCCTACAAGTTTTTGTATATTGTGTTTCTATTTTTATTTGGTTCTGGAAATTTTTCAACTCCCTTCTTATTTCTTGAATGACCCACTGTTTATTCAAAAGTGTTTTGTTCAGGCTGAGCATGGTGGTTTAAGCCTGCCATCCATCAACATGGGAGGGATAAATAAGGAGGATCATGGCTCAGGTCACCCTGGGCAAAAAAGCAAGAACCTATCTGGAAAAAAACCAAAAGGGTCTTAGGAATGGTTCAAGTGGTAGAGTACCTGCCCAGCAAGCACAAGGCCCTAAGTTCAAATCCTGGTACTGCCAAAAAAAAAAAAACCTGTCTATTGTTCAATTTTCATGGGTTTTTATAATTTCTATAGTTTCTCTTGCTGTTGATTTCTAGTTTTATTCCATTATGATCTGATAATATGGAAGGAATTATTTCATTTCTTTTGTATTTGTTAAGACTTGCTTTATGATCTAATAGATAATCTATTTTGGGGGGAAAAATTCCCTTGTGCTGATGCATTGCAGCTATTGGGTGAAATATTTTGTAGATATCTACTAAGTCCTTTTGATCTGTAATGTAATTTAGTTCTGATTTTTTTTGTCTGGATGATCTATTGGTGGGAGTGGGATATTGAATTCACTCACTGTTATCGTACTTAAGCCTAGCTTTCCCTTTACATCCAGTTTTATAAAACTGGATACTCTGACATTCAGTGCATATACATTTACAATCATAGCTTCTTCATGAATTGTTCCCTTTATCAATATGTAGTCTCTCCTGACTAATTTTGGCTTGAAGTCTGCTTTGTCAAATATGAGTATAGCTAATCCTGCTTTCTTCTGGATTTCATTTGCTTAGAATATAATTTTCCATCCTTTTACTTTTAGTCTGTGTCTGTCTTTGCCAGTGAGATGAGTTTCTTGCAAGCAACATATTGTCAGGTCTTTTTAAAATCCAGTTAGCAGTCTGGATCTGTTCATTGGAAATTAAGACCATTTACATTCAGGATTATAATTGAAAGGAACTTACTTTTTACTCTCATTTTTATTTTACTTTGAAGACTATATGTTCACGTTTCCCCCCTATTTTTCTTCTTGAAGTTTTAATGACTTACTGTATTAATAAATGCTTGATTTTTAGCTAATTCTCATTGTTTATCTACTCTTCTAGTGAGATTTTTTTCTTTCCCATGTTGTCATGATTTGGTTTATCTTTTTGTGGATTCAGGATTGCCTAAAGTATCTTCTGTATTGTTGGTTTAGTGGTCATGAATTTCCTTAGTTTTTATTTATAATAGAAGCTCTTTATTTCTCCTCAGATTCTGAAGGATAACTTTTCTGGGTGTAGCAGTTCATATTGGCAGTTACTTTCTTTCAGGACTTGAAATACCTCATTCCATGTTCTCCTACCCTTTAGAGGCTCTGCTGAGAAATCTTCTGTTATTTTGATGGATTGCCTTTAAATGTGATCCGGTGCTTCTCTTTTAAAGCTTTTAATATTTTTCCTTGTTCTGTACTTTTACTAATTTAACTATGGTACACATGGATAGATTCCTTTCTGATTCTGTTCTGGTCGTGTCTATTTGGGTCCTAAATGTCTCTTGGACCTGGATGTCTATGTCCTGTCCAAGCTTTGGGAAATTTTCTGCAATTATTTCACTGAATAGGTTTTCAACGCCTTTGATCTATAGTTTTTCTCCCTTATCTACCCTGATTATGCATAAATTTGGTCTTATAATGGTGTCTTATAAATCTTGTATGCTCTTTATTTGTATCTTTCTTTTTTCTTTATTACTGTCTAAATATGATAATTCATCAGCCTTGTCTCCAAGCCCTGGTATTTTTTTCCCACTTGACCTAGTCTGTTAGTGAGACTTTCAATTGAGTTTCTTATCTTAATTATTGAGCTTTTGATTTCTAAGATTTCCTTTTGGTTCTTTTTCAGAATCTCTCACTTTATTGAATTTTGCTTGTATATCCTACATTCTCTTTGTCAACTCATTGAATTTTTTCTGTATTCTCTTGGAATTCACTGATCCTTTTTTAAAAATCATCCTTTTTAATTTCTTGGCATTTCATCACCTTCAAAGTCTTTAGAGTAACTTACTAAGGAGTTGTAAGTTTTAAGTAAGGGAATATGAAGGCATCATATTCCATGGGTTTTTTGTTGTTGTTGTTGTTGTTCATTTCTTGTGTTTCTATGTTGAGATTTATTCACCTGTTGAGGTAGGTATCTTTCATCATTTATCTAATGCTTGTTAATAAGCAGCCTTTTCTTGGTGTGCTCTAGAAGATTGGTTTATTGTGTAGTGTTGAGCTTTATTGAAAATGGACTCCATAGTGTAGTTTCCCTGTGGCTTTCTTGGCCGTGATTACAGCATGTTGACACAAGGCATACTTTACAGACCCTGATAGACCCACTTTCTCACAATAATGGGAACCCTCTGGCAGTTTAGGCAAGTTTGCTGTAGGTGGTGGAGGATAAGGAGTGTCCTCCTGTGGTTACTCCCCCAGTCTGGTCACCAGTGTGCCCTCTGAAAGAGCATAGAAGTAAACTATGCTGAGGTCTCTTGCAGGTCAGTGCGTTGTGATATTTCTCTCTGCTGTTGCTGTGGAGATGAATGTCCAGGAAAGGGCCTTCAGCTGCCCCCCTAGCCATACCTAGTTAGGACCAGGCCATCAGCTGGATGCTAGCTCCCTTTTCTTTAAGTCAAAGTCTTTGTCAAGGTTTGAGCAGGACTAGGTCATAGCTGAAGTCAGGTGTAACTTCTCCCAGCTAGGCTGAGTTGTACTTCAGCAGCAACGCACCCACCCGTCATGTTCAAGGAGCTACCCTGGATCCCAGGCACCACACAGAAAGAAGAAAACAAACAACAGCAGCCACAACATAAAAATAAACCAGATAAAGAAATACAGTAAAAATCAAATGAAAGCAACACCTACCACAGCACCAGTAAAAGCAGAAAAGAAAAGTAGAAAAATAATATAGAAGAAGCTAAAAAGGTGCCAGGCATGGTGGCTCACATTTCCTTGAGAGGCAGAGATAAGAGAATCATGGTTTTAGACCATGCTGAGGGGAAAGTTAGTGAGAACCTACCTCAGAAAACAAGTAGAGAGTGGTGGTACACCTCTGTAATCCCAGCTGTGCAGGAGGTGGAAGTAGGAAGATTGTGGTCCAAGACCAACCTGTGAAAAAGCATGAGCCCCTAACATGAAAATAACTAAAGCAAAAGCTGCTGGAAGCATGGTTCAAATGGTAGAGCACTTGCCTAGAAAATGCAGGGCTCTGAGTTCAAATCCACATCACTGCCAAAAAGAATAAGCTAAAGTAATAAAAGTAGATTAATTTTTTTAAAGGAAGGAGAAAAGAAGAAAGAGGGAAAAGGAAAAACAAAGACGAAAAAATAAGAAAAACAACAGAGAAATAAAAAGGGGGAAAGCAGGAGAAAGGTAAAAGACAGAAAAGGGGAAATAAGAAATGAGAGAAAAAACAAAATAGTAGTAATAAAATAAAACAGAAAAAAGGATTTAAAAGCATCCTAGCAGAGGTACTTAGAGATGCTTTCTTTGGGCCTTGTAAGGTTGGAATCTGCCAGATAAGCAAACATTTGGGGTGAAATGCATGTTGCACCCTGCTGGCTTCTTGCTGCACTCTTTCCCCAGGACATGGTCAACACCCTTCTCACCATGTGGCCCACATTTGAGCAGGCATCTGTTCAGTCCCAAGAGTCCCAGCAGCTGCACCCAGATGTGGGCAAATGTCCTGGCCAGGCTGTCTGCAGATGCCTCTGAGAATGGAGGGAGCAACCAACATGCCGAGCTCTGTGCTGGAGGGAGGTTGCCAGCTTCAATCTGGCAATGCCTTCTCCCCAGTGCTGTCACTCCTTGTGGATCATTGACTCCCTCCTGGTCACAACCCATGCTCCGTGCAGTGTAAACCTCTCAAGCGGGTTTGCGTCAGATGTTCCACCAAGCCATGACTCACACAGTCAATACAATAGGGTGCTGATGGGGAGTCTGAATTGAGGTTTCTTCAGGTTTTCTGATTCTAGGGCCTAATAATAGGACCATTATCAAGATGACTACTGGTTATAGCCAAGCCATGCAATGAATTTCTTCTCTAAAGCAAGCTTGTCATTCAAGAGGGGTCAATCTTAGACCAAAACCCCCAGCTGACTGGGTGCCGGTGGTACACACCTACAATCCTAGCTACTACTAGGGAGGCAGAAATAAGGAGCGTCACAGTTCAAGGCCAACCCAGGCAAATAATTCCCAAGACTCTATTGTCTTGGGAAAATACCCAACACAAAACAGGGCTAGCAGAGTGGCTCAAGTGGTAGAGTGTCTGCCTAGCAAGCATGAGGCCCTGAGTTCAAACCCCCGGTATTGTCGCACACACACAAAAAAGCCCCTGGATTTAAAGCTTCTGAGGACCATGAGTTGCTTTTATGTTTAGGGCCACAGTTACTGTCTGGGGCTGACAGCACTCTGGGCTTACCTTACACTTTCCGAGTCAGGTTTCCTGTCCCCAGCTGGGGAGCTGAGGTTGAAATTAGGAATTTCTTGGCACTTTTCTCTGAGTTGCCTTTCAGATTCTCAATGCTGTTTAGGTTCCTGTCTTTATTGGTTCCTAGAACTCGTCTTTTCTTTCTCTTCAGAGTATGGTTTCTTGTTGCTCTGACTTTTCAGTCTGCAGAATGGTGTGAGGATCCTTCTGCAAGTTTTTTTTAAAAAACATGCACAGTAATATAATTATCTCGAGTCACTCTACTATGCATAGCACACCTGAACTTCCTACTCCTACCTACTATAACTTTGAACATATTCGCTGACCTCTTCCCTTCTGCTCTCCCCTCTCCCCCAGACTTTGGTTACCATATTCACTCGCAACTTCTACAAATTCACCTTTTTCATATTCCACCTATGCATGCACGTGGTGGTTCTATTTCAGACTCTTTGAGAAACCTCTGAACTGTTTTCCATAATGCCTATAGTAATTCACATTGCCCCAATGGTGCCATAGGAGCGCCCCTTTCTCTACATCCTTGCCAGCATGATTCTTTGTCTTTTTGACAATAGCCATTCTTAGTGGGTGAAGTGATAGACATCTCATTGTGATTTTCATTTACATTTCTCTGGTGATTAAGTGATGGTGAGCATTTTTTTGTATGCCTGTTGGCCATTTGTATGTCATTTGCTTATTTTTAAATCAAATTACTTGAGGGTTTTTGCTTGTTTTCTTTGATGCTGTTGGGGTGTTTGGGTTTCATATATACTCTTGATATTAGTCCTTGTCAGTTGAATAATTTGCAAATATTTCTCCCATTCTGTATGCTTTACTTTGTTGATTGTTTCCTTTGTTCTGCCATTTTTTAGCTGGATATAATCCTGTTTGTCTAATTTTTACCTTGCTGCCTGTGCTTTTCAGGTCTTACTCAAAAAAAACTTTGCCCTGAATTACATCTGAAGAATGAAATAATTTTTAGAAGACAGCCTCACATAGACCAATGATAGGCATCTGCCATGAACTAAGAATTGTGCTTAATACTGTATTGTGTTTCAGAAGGAGGGAGGGAAGGGGGAAAAAGGGAGGGAGGGAGAGAAGAAAGGAAGTGGGGAAGGAAGGGACAGAAGGAAGGAAAGGAGGGGAGAGAGAGACTGTATGTCCAACACATTGGATTGGTCAACAGTGGGATGGGGCTTTGAGGAGGAAAGAGGAGGACATTAAAAGGAATATGTGGCCCAAGCAGAAAACTATGCAAGGTCACTAACGTGACCCTATAGGCTGGTGTCAATAATGGGTCACATACCCAGAAACACAAATGAACTCTACCTTGAATTTCTGCATTTATTTCATATTCTTTTGTTCTAGTGTTCTATGTTCAATACCCCACGTATGTTTTAATATGTGGGGTTCTCATTTTATATGAGGTTTTTTGTTTGTTTGGCTTGGTTTTGGGGTTTTTTTGAGAAGGGTCTCTCTATGTTGGCCTCAAACTCACTATGCAGTCCAGTCTGACCTTGAACCTGCAATCCTCCTGCCTCAGTCTCCTCAGTGTTGGGGTTACACACATACACCACCACACTCAACTTTACAAGAGTTCTTATATGGTATGGATTTGGGGGGGGGGTTGTGTGTGTGTGTGTATTGCAAATATTGTCCCTAGTCTTTCCTGGCATAAGTTCTGTCCTTTGTTTTGTTTTTTTTTTAAGAAATAATAAATGTTAACAGGTAGATTTTGAAAGAACTGTTGACTCAGGAGGCCTTTATCAGATCCTGTTAGTACAGGGTGATGTAGCTCACAGCTGATAGAAACTCCAATGCTGCAGAGATAGAAGCCCCTCCTGAGAGAGCCCTGGAGCCGGCTGCTCCATTCTGCCCCACCCTGAGGCTCCTAGCAAATAGTAGCTGTACCAGACACTGGGGACCTCACACACATACCCTGTCCCATCTGCAGGAGCTGAGGCAGAGCAGCTTTATCTAGGACTCAGCTCTGCTCCTGTCTAGCCTCAGGAACTTGGCCCTGTGCCTTCCTTTGCTTGCCCTCTCCTCCTGTGCATCTGGGGTCTCCAACCCTGAGCCCCTCCCTTTTCTGGGCACTCCAGCACTGGTGCTAGGAGTCTATGAATAGCTGGAGGGGTTGATACTGGAGGGGTGTGGAGGACCCATTTGCACAGGGCTTATTGATCCAGAAAATAGTAACTCTGGCCAGCTCTTTGGAGCTGCCAGCACTGACCTCGATTGTGATTGAATTTCTCAGTCTGTGACTTGTTTGAGCAAATAATTGAGTCTGAGTAAAGCTTAATCAAAGACAGAGGTCAGGATCAATAGGTCCTGGGCTAGTCCAGGCCACCTCCCCTTAGAACGCTGTGTCCCCTTCCCACTCAGGGCCTCCAACCCTCTGATCTTTGATTTGACCCCCCTCCCATCAATTTCTTCCAAACACAAAGTGACATAGCAACCAGCACCCTGCATGCACGCTTCCTGATACCGTATAGTCCTGTATCACTGGTAGAAGGGACTGTCAGCCTCACTAACCCGGCAGAGGAGCGGCAGGAGGGGCAGCGATGTTCCAGGGTTGCACAGGGAGTTACTGGCCAAACTGCAACTGAACTTGGCTTTTCAGACTCCAGGCACACAGTGCCCTGTCCTGCTCCGACCTCATCCTTGGCTTCTGTTCTGCCCCACTCTGCAGTCACCAAAAGGGAACGCTGAGAAAGGTCTTGGTATTGGAAGGTGCTCCAGCACCTTACCCTCTGCAACTGTTCTGGCTGCTGTAGGTTCTGCCATTAACGCTCTGAGGTTTTAGTGAGCCTGTGTAGCAGGTTCTTACAAAGTGTTTTTGCTGAAAAGCACTCACTCCTTATTTGGGCCCACAAATTCTCTCGCTTTCTCTGGAAAGCAGGAGAAAGCTTGGCATCCCTACCTCCATTTTGCATCTGTCTCCTGTACTCTGAGTCTCTCTCCTGCAATCGTCTTGAGTTCCAGGAAGGAAAGGACTGATTGATAACATCTTTACAGCGGGTACCGCCACCCGCCAGGCAGCAATGACTTTCTTGTCCCCCGCCTGACCAATCCTGAGACGATCAGGATCACCTGGGCCACCACCTCTGAGCAGGGGAACACACCTGTGACTGGGACTACTTAATAATCATGCACACTTCTCTGTCCCTGCCTCCAGTTCCTCCTCTAAAGCACTTTTCTGTACAGGGAAGACGAGCTGAGATGCATCTCTCTACTAAAAGATGCAAGGGATCGATTATCTCTAAGCCTCTGGAAGCAACATAGTCATGCCAGCCTTCGATACACAGCCTTTGGAATAAATTCAAGAGCCAGGTGTGGTGGTGGACACTCGTAATCCCATGTGCTGAGGAGGTGGAGATAGGATGACTGAGGTCCAAGGCCAGCATGAGCTCTGGCTTGGTCATTGTTTATTTGAAAAATATACTAAAGCAGAAAGGGTTGGGGCCGTGGCTCAAATGGAAGATTGCTTGCTTAGCAAGTGCAAGGTCCTCAGTTCAAATGTCAGTACTGCCTAAATAAATAAATAAATAGATGTGTGTTGATGGGAAAATTTCTTATGGCAGCAATAGAAAATTATGACACTTCTCTTTTGTGCCCTCAGAATCTCAGAACAAGGGAGAAAGAGTGTGTCACATGTACCTCCCTCAAACCTACAGTGAAGAACAGACTTGACGGGGAAAAACTTATTCAAAGCATACAGTGAGTGCTCAATGATTGTCTGAGCCATGAACCCTTGTTCCTGACTTCACTTCAGTCCCCTGTCTACCCCACCCCAACCTCTGCCTTGCTCAATCTCTTTTTGCATTTTTTGTGTTCGCTTTTCCTTGCTGCTTGAGTTCATTTGGTTTCTCCAGCAATACATTGGGGGAAGGAGTGGAATGATAGTCACTTACATCTTAGTGTAAATTAGCAGACAGTAAGGCAACCCTGGATGAAACCTGCAGTGGGATCTTTGAAGAATCCAGGGAATTACATAGAGAACAGAGAGAGGAGGGCTTCAAGGAAGAGGGATGACAAGGGTAAAGTCAACTGAGCTTCCCCTGCAATAAAACCAGAGGCACAGAGATGAACCACATATCTCTTTTGGGCATCTTCCTAAGACCTCTGGTGCAGGCTGGCTACAGCTTTGACTTTGCAAGAACCCCTGCCTGGAAAGTAAGGTCTACTGGCAGACAGGGCTTACTTCCCAAGGTCTGTGGCGAAGCTGCAATTGAGGCACAGGAGCGCAGGTGTTACTACATCTATCTGAACAAGAAGCAGCCATGCAAGGTGCACTCCTTCTAGAAGCTGCACTCATATGTAACGTTCACATTTAATCCTCACAGTAGTCCTGGGAAGTGATCCTATTATGATCCAAAGGCTGGTTCCTTAGTTTCCCATGAAACTAAGGCCTAAAGAGGAAAGGCCAACTTGTCCATGGCCTCAGACTAGCACATGATACTGGACCCAAGATGGGGACTAGTGACTCCTTCCTTTGAGACACCCTTTGAAAATGGATCAAACTTGAACTTGAAGGATAACCACACTGCAGTCACTTAGACAGCAGGAGACTTCTGGCCTCAGCAACTTGTGGCAGAGAAAACTGAAAGCCAGTGGTGTGCTGGGACAGCTCCTACAGCCAGAGAGCCAGGTGGGAGGAATCTGGGGACAGTCAACAAACACTCATGCAGGTAACCAACTCTGTCAGCAATTGATGACAGCAATCAGTGACATAAGCTGGTGGCTTGCCATGAAAGGCACTGACACCATAGCAAATCTTTAATCAGGGCTTGCCCCTCTCCCTGTCCTCCTTGCCCTCTTGCATCCCCACTCCCAACCCAGAGTATCACTGATTGGGACCCCATAGAGGTGACCCACCCAATGTTCCATATCAGTTCCACTGCCACCCTCCCCTAGCCAAAAGCCTTTAAGGACAGGGCCCCAAGAGTCCTCCCAGGGACCAATGAGCCTTTGGCTGACAAAAGGCAGATGATGCTCAGATAAACAAGATGGAGCCAGACCTCTCTGCAATGCCAGCTTTGGGGATGTAAAAACAAGAGCAGCACTTGAGATCGCTTCCAGTGGACACTACCCCTGCTACCTTCCTTAGAATCTGGAAATCCTACCTTCCTTTAAAATGCACACTGAACCCTCCCTTTCCAGAAGCCTACAGCCTGTGATCAGGGAACTCTGCCCCATCCCCTGAGTACTCACAAGTCACTCCTTAGCCCCTGTCCACCTCCTGACATACAGCTGTCTTTGGAGGATCACCCAACTTTCCTGGGAATCTGGCACTCCCAGAAGTCTGCTTTGTCCCCAGGACTCAACAGCACAGGGCTGGCGTCTGGGAGGCATCAGTAAATGATGGTTAATTAGTCAGCATGGTGTCCTCCCTCTCTCCCTTCTCCCTCCTCATTTTCCCTATCCTGTTTTCCACTTGCCTGGCCAGTCTCCTGGCCACAGCAGAGCCTCCTTCTGTGAGTTGCTCCCTCAGCCCAGGCCAGCTCTGCCCCCGCAGCCTCAGGAACCAGTGACCAGGGAGAGCGTGACTGCTCAGAACCACCCCCAACTTGATCTGTGTCACAGGCAGAGGCCCTGTGACTACCCCAGGCCCTCCTCTTGGAGGCTTCCTGACTGCTTTTGGAAGGACTGGAAAGAAAGGGGGAGAGGGGTCCCCAAGGCCTGAACTTTGCCTGGCTTGGCTTAGAACAGCCCCCTCTGGCCCTCTGCTCTTAACTCTGTATCCCCACCCTGCATTCCTCATCCAACTGTGGCTGCAAAAGTTAAGACCAACCACAGCAGTTAGCTGCAAAACGCCCTCTGATGCTGCAGAGCAGAGGTTGGACACCAGAGGCAGAAAACCTGCCTTTGGAGAGCTGTTATCAGTGCCTTTCCTCCTCTAGAGCTCAGGAAAACACTGGATATTAAACCCTAGCTGTATATGTAACAACAACCCCAATAACAACACCCAAAAATTCCACGGCACTTATTACGGGCCAGGCTCGCGTCTCAAACTCTACCTTCTTTAATTCATACCATCTTTGTAATAGCATTGTGAGGCAAGCCATATAATTACCGCTATTTTACATTTGAGGAGACTGAGACACAGACAGGCTAAGGAACTTGCCCAAGGTTACACAGCCAATAAAGAACGAGCTAAGATTTGAACCCAGGTCCAGAGTTCCAGGCTAGCTCGTGAAAAGGCAAGGTGGGGAAATGGGAGTAGAGATGGAGAAGCTAGGAGACCAGGCTGCAGCCTACAACATCTGAATGGAAGACTGGCTGGGAGGTAGATGGTGTATGAATGGAAGAGTACAACCACACAGGGAGGGACTAGAGAGCCGCAGTGCCTGGGAACAGCACGCTACAGGGGAGAGGTCATGGGTAACCCACTCCACAAGCTAGATCTCCACTTTGTCAGTCCATTTGGGGGTAGTGGGGTGCTCCTTGGCCTAAAACCTTCAGGCCCTGCCAGCCTCAAGACAAAAGCAAGGTTTCCATCCTCCAGCTTTCTCCTGCACAGAATAAATCATAGCTGTAGTGGAGGATCCTGTGGGAATTCAGTCTGATGTGATCGTTCTAACAGCTAAACGCTGCTGAGCCCCACCATGTGCTCTGCCTGGTGCAGGGCTCTCAACATATTAACTTAGTCCATCGTCACAGGCTGCTGATAGAAGTGAATACTATTAGAACTGAGGCCCAGAGAGGTTACAAAACTGGCCCAAAGTCACAGAGCAAGTGACTAAGAGAACCAGAATGTGAAAGCTCTGAAATGCAAAGCATCCTGCTCAAGAAAATAACCAGCAGGTTACAGACTTCCTTCTCTGACAAGTCACAATGACCTTATGTGACAGGCCCCATTTTATAGATAAGGAACTTGAAGTTCAGAAAGCGGGAGGAACATTCCCAAGGACACAGAGCAAGTGCAGTCAAAATCCCCCTCTTTGCAGAATCAAGCCTGCCTTGACAGTCCCTGGGACTTTGTCCTGTCCTGTCTTTGCTGGTTTTCCTGGCAGGAAATCAGGTACAGCAGGTAATGCCCCCAGTGTCACAGGAAACTCAGAGCCACTCTACAAGCTGGGCAGAGTCAGCCCCAGAGCTCTGACCTCTGATTCCCAGTCCACTGGGCTCACTTTCCACTCTTTACCTTTGTTCTTACTGTTGTTATCAAATTCACTATGTAGCCCAGGTTGGCCTTTAACTCATAATCCTCCTGCCTCTGCCTCCTGGTTGCTGGTATTACAGGCATGTGTCACCATGCCCAGCTCTGCTTTTTTAACTAGCTATTTTTCCTGAATACTAAAATAATATATGTTCAATACAAAGTGTGGAAAGGCCAGGGAGGAAATGGAAAAGAGGCTAAAGCCTCCCAGTGATCCTACTCCTGCATATCTCATCTCCCTGTTTTCCTGCCCAGAGCCCTATCTGCCACACCTCAGGGACTTGTGCAATCAGAGTTAGACTGGAAGGGAGTGGCCTTGTCCAGTCCCCAGCAGGGCAGAGGTCACTTGTAAACCCCTGGGAGCCTCTCTCCTCCCCACGCTCCCTGGGACCCCACATTCCTCAATGTTTCCGGGCTTTTATCAGGAAATGGAGAGGTTTGTGACATTGATAAGACCACAAGAACAGCCCGGCTCTCAAAGCTGATTTCAGTGAGCAAAATTAGGCACTGCTACAAAAAGCCCAGTGCTGAAAGTTTTTTCACCTCCATCGTTGTTGCCTGAAATGTTACCCCTAGTGCTGAGTTCAAACTGAAACCCTTTCCCCAACCCCAGGGAGGGTAGTGCGCCCAACAGGATACAGACTACTCTACTTTTTTGGGAGGGGAGGGAGGTACTGAGGTTTGAACTCAGGACACCATGCTTGCTAGGCAGGCGATCTACCACTAGAACCACCCCCGCAGCCCCTTTGCTTTACTTACTTTTCAGATAGGGTCTCACTTTTTCCTTGGTCATGGACCACGATCTTCCTACCTATGCATCCCAGTAGCTGGGATGACAGACTTGCACCATCATACCTGGCTTATTGGTTAAGATGGGGTCTTGCTAGCTTTTTGAACACACTCGTCATAAACAATAATCTCCTCAACTCAGCCTCCCCAGTAGCTGGGAGCCACCATGCCTGGCCTAGTCTGCCTAACAACCACGCGACACTGGGCTAATTACTAAACTTCTCTGAATGTACATCAGCTTCTCATCTCCCTCAGGAGTTTTTATTAAAATTAACTGAGTGTCTGGCACAGCACTGGCCCCCTTCTAGGCCCTGATGTGACTAAATGTTAATAAATGAAAGCTGACTCATGCTGGCCTCGATGGAGGCCATTTGGGGACTGCATGGGTCTTTGAACTGTTTGGGATGGAGGACAAGGACAATGTACAAAGGAAAACCACAGGGCCAGAGAGCCTCAGCCCTGGAGGGAGGCTGTGAAGATGGCTCATCTGAGAAAGGGAAGAGAGAGAAGGGACCACAGAGCCACCCAGCCAGGTTGAGAATCAGCTCTCAAGGGCTTTAAGAATCTGCAGAGCCAGGAAAGGGGGTAAGAAGCCAGCAGAACATCTTGCTCCCTAGTGCTGTGGAGAGGAAGTCCTCCCCCACCCAGCCTATACCCCCCAGCCCCCAGCACCTGTTCCCACTCCCCAGGCCACTGTGGCCTCTGTACAGGTCCCTCTCCTGGAGTGCAGCTCTTCCCTACCTACCAGAGCCAGATGACTTGCCTGGGGTTCCAGCCAGAGCTGGGAGGAGAGGAGCTGGCTGATCCACCCTTGGGAAGTGCAGTGCAGAGAGAGGGTGAGTGTGGCTCCCAGCTTGTGACCTCTTCCTCTCAGGACTGCAGAGTGCACACATCCTGCCTCAAGGCTGGGAATACTTGTCCCCTCCCCACACTTCAGCCCTCCCACCAGCCACACCAGCAACAAGTTGTTTCTCCGGCTAACAAGTGAGTCAAGCTCAAATGACCCCATCCGTGAAGAAGAAACCCTCAAGGACAGTTATTTTGGAAAACATGTCCCAAGCCAGCCTCCCTGGAGTGATTCCTCAGCTGCTAGACCAAGGTCATGAAAGTTCAGTCCAGACCTCAGGGCCCACCTGGACAGCTTTTCCAGCTTCACAAATCCTGGACGCCCCCACAGTGGGACCCCACTCCTATCCTCCCTGACCCGCACTCCACCTAGACTCTCCTCTACCATGACTCCTGGAAAGCCTGTGCTATATGCAATGTCCACGGTGTGTCTTTTCAGGCCTTCTTCCCTCATTTCCCCCTCCCTTTCTCTATTTGTCACCTACTCTGTCACCAGTTGCTTGGTGAATGCTTGTTGCCTCCACCAGAATTGAGCAATAGTAGAGCCATATGTCAAGTGGTTAAAGGCACTGGTATTGGAGTCATACAGAGCTGGCCTTGAATCTGTCTCCATTCACCAGCTGTGTGACCTGGAGATAACAGCTTCCCTTCTCTGGGGATGGGATGGTCCCTCAGGCAGGCATCGGAGAACTGAATGTCCCCAGAGAGATGGACACAGACTTAGACATTTACCTTTCTCTGGAGTCCACAGGCTACCCACAGTAGATGTCAAGCCTATGATGGGTTCTCATTCAGACAAATGGGAACAAGGAACTTCCACCAGGGTGGCTCTCCAAGTCTCACAAGGCCAAATGCTGGTTATTGATAGCCCCAGAGAATCAGGCCGGGGAACACCTAACAAGAGCCATACAGACCCACTTCCCTCCAAGAAAACAGCTAAGCTCTAGGACCTGGGCTTCTTCTTCACCTTCTCCCTTTTTCACTTTTCTAAAGTTATTTTTTGGCTTGCAGAGTAACGCACAACATCGTCATATGCATGCCAGTCAGCTTTGCCTAACATTAGCATCCCACAGAACCACAGGGCAGTATCCAATGGTTGTGACGTTGACATTGATCTGACACCATTGCCTTTCAGGTTGCTACAGTTTGGATGTATTTTGAATGTGTCCTCCCAACAATTCATAGGCTGTGAGCGTATTCCCCAGTGTGGCAGTGTTAAGAGATGGTGGGACCTTAAGAGGTGGGCTAGTGAGAGGTGGTCAGGACATAGGGGTACTGCCCTTGGAGTGGATTAGTTCTCTCAAGAAGGGGTTGTTATGAAACAAGTCAGCTGTCTGTGCTGTCTCTTTTGCTTCCTGTCCTGCCATGTGAAGACTTTCTTGCATGCTCCCACCATTGTAATGTCAGTGACCTTGAGGCTCTGCATCAGAGTGGAGCAGACACTGACATCATGTCCTTGAACCTCCAGAACTGTGAGCTATTTCAATAAACCTCTTTTCTTTCTAAAATACTCAGCCTCAGATATTTTGTTACAGCAACATGGAATAGATTAAAATTTCACCAATTGTCCCATGAGTGTCCTGCCCTAGAATCTAAACCAGAACCCCAAACCTCATTTGGGTGAGTCTCCTTAGCCTCTACTACTCTGGGACTGCTCCTCTTTCTTTGTCTTTTAAAGAGTCCGTTAATTTGTAGAATTTCACTTTGATGTTTCTTCGTGATCAGATTGAGGTCATACGTTTAGGGTAGAACACCACAGAAAGTGATAGTGTCTTTCTCAGTACATCATTTCAGAGATACATGGTTTTTGGTATGTATTTATTGGCGTTAACCTTAATCGCTTTGGTAAGGTGTCTGCCAGGTTTTTCCTCTATGAAATTACTCCTCATGCCTTCAATTGTTAAAACTCTTGTTGACAGATACTTGGAGGTTATTTCTCTGATACTTTTGCCCGTTAATCTCAGTATCGACTGACAATACTTTCCAACAACCAGTAATCACTGTGCTGTTTGCCAGAGGATGGTTTTCTAGTCCATCCTTCTTTCTACATTTAATAGGAATTTTACTACAAAAAAGAGTTGGCCCTTCTCCTTATTTATGTCACAGGTATGTATTTTCCTCTGTTATTATTATTATCTTCATGGTCAAATTGTCTCATCCTCTTTTCAAATATCTCAACCCACCTGCTTCCTGTTGAGCTGTTTTTTCTAATTACATGTGGCCAGGGCTAAGTCATCTGCCGCCAACCCCATGTTACTCCCCAGCCACAGCACTTCAAACACCAATTTCCCAGTGTGCAGACCAGGTGGCTGGGTTCAAGACCTTTGCCTGAGCAGCCAGATTTGCCTGGAATCCAATGAGGCATCTTCCCAGCAAGGACCGTGCCTTTTCCCATAATGGGCAGGTGGCAGTCAAGGAAAGTATGTCATAGCTCTATCCACAGGGAGTTCCAGAAAGGCTGACCAGGGTCCCAGGTCTTTCCGCTGCCTCCACTCACTCATTCTCCCTCCAGCTCCATCAACCTAAGTCCCTCAGTTGTTCCTGTTCGGGTCCCTCTTTTCTGCCCCAATGCTGCGTTAATTACTAGGAAGTCCAGGCAGCAGAGAGCTGTGAGCATTTACCCAAATTCCTTCAGAATCTGAAAGGAAGTGCTTTCCAGCCAGGGGTTGGAGACCAGATGTGCTCCACCAGCCTCAAGGGCAGCCAAAACAGGGCAAAGCATTGCAGAGACATCAGTCCAGAAAGGTTGCTGAAGTGGGTGAGGGGAGAAGGCTGGGAGCAATCTAAGATAAGCAAGGATGCCGTTTGTCCCGGGGAAACAGGTCCAGCCTCAGAGGTCAGGCCTCTCTATGCCTGAAAGGCTAAGATGGAAGATACCCTGTTGGTATCTTCATTACTCTGATGTTCTTCCTCACACAGTTCCATTTTTAACACAGCAGTCCGGGAAAAGCAGCATCAGATTTTCAAAACACCTGCTTCTGTATTCCTCAGAGCCCGGAGGACACACCTGTGATCCTTTGGCCCAAGGCCAGCTCCTTCCTGCCTTTTACCACCCCAATCCAGGCCCACCTCCCCCTGGAAGCCTCCCAAGTCTCACCAGGCCTCCCTGGTCCCCTACTCTGAGTCCTGTGGAGTCTTATGGGAATTATTACTCAAACACAAATCTGTCTCCCTACCAGACTGCAAATTCCTCACAATCAGAGGCCTTGGCCATCTGCAGAGTACCTAGCACTGAACCCTAAACGCAGCAGGAACTCTAGAGACACAGACCAGTTGATCTGCCAGAATAGCCCAGCCCGCCCTTGGCAGGCTGGCTTGTGATGGGAGAGCCCTGCTTTGGGCCTGCCTCAATCTCTATCTCTCTCTGTCTCTTCTTTTCTCTGTCTTCCTTGGGTGAAGTTTAGCCCATGTTATCTGGCCTTGTAAGGGGATCATCTGGTCTAGGCCTCCTTTAAGGCCTTAAAACTCTGAATTCCTAAACCACACACCTGCCCTGGAAGCTAGAAGTTTAGTTCACATCCATTCTTACTCACTTTGATTAGCTGCTGTGCCACAATCTCAGACTGGCTCCCTCCAGGCATGTTCCACTGACAGCGCAGCAGGAAGGAAACACTGTTCATCTCACCTCTTCCATTTCCTCTTTCTGTGCTGCCCTGGCTGGCCCTCTCCAGCCACCCAGACTCATGCTGTCTCCTCTTAGCACACATTTGCCCAGGGTCTTGTGCCCAGGGCCCCAGTAAAGGATGTATAACCCTTTCCCAGTTTCCATTTTCTTGCCTTGGTACAAATGTATTTTTTCAAAATCAATATATTTGTTCATTTATCAAAATACCTTCAGCCATATATTACGTGCAGAGCTCTGGAGGGGCTCCCCAGATACCTTCTGTGGGATTAGGGCAGGCTGAGTTGTTACATCCATTTTGTAGACAGGGTGGCCAAGGTTCAGAGAGGGAAAGTCACTTGCTCAGAAGAACCTAGTTGATAGAGAACCTAGTTGATAGAAGCCAGACTTCCTTACTCCCACCCCAGTGCTCTCTTGCCTACTATCTCTTTGACTATTCTTTTTAATTCTTCACTCTTTCCTTCTCCCAACCCCTATAACTCATATACGGTTCTCTCCTTCCAGACAGAAATTATTCTGGCGCAGATGAAAATAATCCACGTCATAGCTGAGCCAGTACTTAACATGTGGTAGACACCCCACAGTTTATTAGGTAGATGTAGGCATTCATATAGAAAACCTTCATGGAATTATCTGCTCTTACTTGAGGCTGGTCCCCATGCTTCTCGTACACAAAGACTCTACCATGTGGGACCTCTCTGATGCTCAGTTTCCGTATCTGAGGGCTGGACAGTGATATCCAAACTTCCATCAGGGGTGACACCCTGGGCTCTGCAAATGTTCCCCTATGGACTGCTGTGTGCGCCTGCACAAACCCAAGAATGCAAGCTGGGAAGGATGCCCAGCCAGTCAAGGTCAGGGAAGGCAAAGAGCAGTAGGTGGGCCTGGAAGTGAGTGGGTGGCTGCCAGATTCCAGTAACCAGTTCCGTTTTCCTGTTATGATCTTCTCTTTCAAGGCATCTGGTAACTAAAGAAGTCAACTAATGATCAACAATTGAGAACTGGAGACCTTTCCCAACTATCTCATCCTTTTCACCCCACCTGCCGTGGGCCAGTCCCCAGAGGGTGAGCTATAGGCAGAACAGGGAAGCTAATTGATGCTTGCACAGCACATAGGTTGAATGGGGCACTGCTTTAAATGAGCCATACATACTAATTTGTCTAATCCTCCCATCAGCCCCATTTTAGTATAAGGAAAGTTAGCACAGATTAGGTAATTCCAAATTGCAGGGCTGGGATTTGGATGTGATTATATCAGCCACACCCTCAGCCTCCACCCAGCTGTGTTACTGCACCCTCCCCTATGAATCCACAGGGCTCCCTCTCAATAGACAACAGTTTTATGCCAATCTTTTCCAGACACTCCCTCCCACTT